ATCTCTGTAAAGTATTAAAGACACAATCAATTGAAAAACAAAGAATGAGTTTGAAATAATGGATATTGATATGTTGAACCTTGTTGCCTGGAAATAGAGAAATACAAATTTTTAGCTGAGAAGAGGCACTTTGAAATATTTAGCACATATTAGACCATAAACATACACACACACACACACACACATAATTACGTTAGATTATGTTTGTTATTCATCAAGTAATAGTACTGGGAAATTGTACCTTAACAAATGTTGTAATAGTACCATTTAATTATACTGATGACCTACTGTAAAGTCTATTATATGGTCATGTTGTGTTTTTAATAGGTTAAAAAGCCATGACATATATATTTCTTTTTTTTGTTTTGTTTTTTTTTTTGCTGTACTCGGGCCTCTCACTGTTGTGGCCTCTCCCGTTGCGGAGCACAGGCTCTGGACGCGCAGGGTCAGCGGCCATGGCTCACGGGACCAGCCGCTCCGTGGCACGTGGGATCCTTCCGGACCGGGGCACGAACCCATATCCCCTGCATCGGCAGGCGGACTCTCAACCACTGCGCCACCAGGGAAGCCCTATATTTCTTTATTTTACTTTAATCCAAATGTTTTAACTAGATCTCTTGAAAAAAAAAATCCAACTGGAGTCAAACCACGTTAGACCTGGAGGAAGGAGATCAGGATGGTGGAGGAGGAGGGTGCTGAGCTCATCTCCCCCTATGAACATATCAAAAATATTTTTACATCTACATGAGGAAAAATTCTCTTGCAAAACTAAGTGGAAACTGGTAAAAGGACTCCTGTACAACCAAGGCTGTAAAGAAAGATATACACAGAGTCACGCAGGAAGGGAGGTGAAGCAATCAGGGTGGGATCCACAGGGATATCACAAGCTTGGAGATCCTTCCTGGAGAGTAAGGGGTTCAGACCACATACTGGGCACCCTAGCCCTGGGGTCCAACCCCAGGAAGACAATTCCCCTTGGTTAGTTCGAAAACCAGTGGGACTTAAAGGAGGGCTGTAAGAAACAGATTCCACTTGTGAAGAGCACACGCATGCTCACTTACTCCCAGGAACAAGGTGGTGAAGGAAGCAGACTGAAACTGCCCGGGGCTCTGGCCAGTGTCCCGACTGCTCCAGCGAATGCCCTGGCCCACACCAAGTGCCCGCCCCAGCCCCTCTAGCTCCAGCACAGCTCCCCACTAGGGAAGAGACTATCACTGCAGGGGAGTGTGCACTCGGGGCAGCAGGGGGGTGGTGAAGAGCAGGCTAGACCCGGCACTGCATCTGAACAGGGGGAGAGGGGAGAGCAGACATTACTGGTGCTCATGGAAGCGGCAGATGAGGAGTTTGTCTGGAACTCTGACATGCCAGGAACATACCAACACACTCCAGCCCACACTGGGCACCTGCTCTGACCCCTCTTGCTTCAGCACCGCTCCTTTTGGGTTGAAGGTGCTGTTGCCAGGAGGATGGAGGGCACACACTCAGATGAAACAGAACCAGCTTGGACCCTACTCTCAGGGCTTCTGCTCCAGCACCTTGGGACCCAATCCCACCCCTAATAGGGTGGTGATGGTCACTGAGCAGAGGGGAGGGAAAGTTCCTGCTCGCACTTGGCTCTGGCTCTATCTCCTCCACCTCCAGCTGCACCTCCCACCAAGGTGACAGCTGATAGCAACCCTGGGGAAGACGTGACCTGTGCTTACTTCAGATGCAGCTCTCCCACCAAAGCCACTGGGCACACGCAACCGCATAGAGATGCTCCCACATAAGGACAGGCTTACTGACTCACCTAATTTCATTGAGACAGAGAAAGTTAACCCAAATGAGAAGACAGAGGAATTTGTTTCAAATGAAAGAAAAAGAAAAAAAAATAACTGAAAAAACAACTTATAAAAGAGAGATACACAATTTACCAGATAAAGAGTTCAAAGCATTAGTAACAAGAATGCTAACGGAACTTGAGGGGAAAAATAGATGAACACAGTGAGAATTTTAACAAGGAACAAAAAACATAATAAAAAATCAGTCAGAGTTGAAGAATACAATAACTGAAATGAAAACCTCACTAGAAGGAATTAACAGCAGACTAGGTGATATAGAAGAAAGTATAAGTAACCCGGAAGACAGAATAATGGTAATCATCTAATCATAATATCAAAAAGAAAAACAATTTTTTAAAAAATGAGGACAGTTTAAGAGACCTCTGGGACAACATCAAGTGTACTAACATTCCCACTATAGGGGTCCCAGAAGGAGAAGTGATAAAAGGGTTAAAGATGTATTTGATGGGGGCTTCCCTGGTGGTGCAGTGGTTGGGAATCCACCTGCTTATGAAGGGGACATGGGTTCGAGCCCTGGTCCAGGAAGATCCCACGTGCCGCAGAGCAACTAAGTCCATGCGCCACAACTACTGAGCCTGTGCTCTACAGCCCACGAGCCACAACTACCAAAGCCTGCACATCTAGAGCCTGTGCTTCCACAAGAGAAGCCACCGCAATGAGAAGCCTGTGCACCGCAAGGACGAGTAGCCCCCCACCTTGCCACAACTAGAGGAAGCCTGCATGCAGCAACAAAGACCCAATGCAGCCAAAAATAAAATAAAATAATTTTTTATTTTTTTTGCGGTACGCGGGCCTCTCACTGTTGTGCCCTCTCCCGTTGCAGAGCACAGGCTCCAGACGCGCAGGCTCAGTGGCCATGGCTCATGGGCCCAGCTGCTCCGCGGCATGTGGGATCTTCCCAGACCGGGGCACGAACCCATGTCCCCTGCATCGGCAGGCGGACTCTCAACCACTGCGCCACCAGGGAAGCCCTAAAATAAAATAATTTAAAAATATACATATTTGATGAGATTATGGCTGAAAAATTCCTGACCCTGAAGAAAGAAACAGATATCCAGGTACAAGAACCACAGCAAGTCCCAAGCAAGATGAACCCAAAGAGTTTCACACCAAGGCTGAGAGAATGGCTTTGGAGGTGGTATGCTCTCACAAGAGCATAAATTGCTCTTAAATTGAGAATCCCATGAATTAGAATACAGTTACATGCCCTATAATGGGAAGGCTCACACAAGCACAGTGCCTCCTATTTACCAAATGATTGCACAGGAAGGTCCCTGTGAGCCTCACAGTACTCACCTGAGATATGCAGGGCAGGTGCCACCTCAGAGCAGCAAACTGAGACTCACAAAGGTTAAACAACTTGTCAGGACCCAGAAGTTCTGCCACAAAACTCAACTAGTAATCCTCACACTACACCAGAACTATCTTTATACTCCTATTCTTGTCTCATGCTGTACAAAATTAAAAGAATCTCCCCAACTGTCACTACTGGAAGTGTGTGTGTTTTATTTCAGGAACTATGACATTCACCAGTATGCCCGTAAAATTCTCTTAAAAGCACTAGGAATGCCTGGACCCCGCTCAGAGTTTCTGTGCAGAGACATACGGTATTAGAGAACCGTATTAGAAGACACATTCCATCCAAAAGGTAAGACCTGTGCTTGTGCATCTTTCTCCACGGTCAGGCTCTTGAGAAGCCCTGCCTTGAACAACCAAGCTTCTGATCCCTGTTTTTAAGGACAAGATTGAAGCTCTGTTCATTCAGAAATGAAAAGAATCACAGTGGTGCTTCTAGACTTCGGTCTTCCTCTTTCTTCAGGTCTGCTCACTTCATGCAGGATCGGTGGTGGTTCCAAAACGAAGTAGCCACCAAACCATAATACAGCAAACACTTTAAATACCGAGTTCTCTAGCTCTACCCTTGTGCTCCTGATTCAGGAGTTCTTGGAAGTAGAGTAGACCTGTATTATGTGGGATGTAGGCACATCCACATTTACAATACTCATGAAACAGGAAGAGGTGATGAGCAGACAGTTGTAAGAATTATTGTTAAGACTCATTTATCATATCCTTTATTCTCATATCAACAAACAGCTGGATTTGAATTTTGTAAAAGCCACAGCAAACCACATTCCCTTTAACTTTTTATTTTGAAATAATCACAGATGTACAGGAAGGTACAAAGATAGTAGAGGCATCACCTAGTTTCCTCTGATAGTTACATCTTACACAAATATAGTACAGTATCACTCTGTGGACACAGTAAACGAATTTGCAACCAAAATCGCTGAGAAAATGTTTCTGCCCAAAAGCCATCACTGTCCTGGAGATTCCTGTAAAGATGAAGACGAAGGAGTTGGCTACAGGCAACCTGACCATCGAATCTGTGGACCCTAACCTTCACCTAGAGAAGGAAAGCAAGATATAATGGTAAAGAAGAGAGAAGTTCTCCAGGAATCTAATCATAGTCTGTGATAAGAAGACCATTTCTATTGCCAAAAAAACCTGGAGGATCTGTTAGCTCCCAATGACTGACATATTTCTTCTGGGGGATGCTGCAGGAGAACCTGAAGCAATGGTTATATTTATCATTTCAACTGAAATTCAATATTCTCCACTTACCATTAGTTCTCACTGAGAAATATTTACTTAAGTTTTACTTTCATTAAGAGCCTTCTAAGAGTTGAATATGTAACTCTGAAAAACCTTTACAATGTAAGAATCACTGCTAGGAAGCTCAGTAACATCTGCATTCTTCACAAATCTTGGAGATGGAAACTACTACTATTTTTATTCTAAAGAGGAAGAAAACTTAAGCACAGGGAGTTCAGTGATTTCAATAAATTCACACATTGGTGAGCAGCAGATATGGGGACTTCAACTTAGTGGAGACGGTAACAAAGTATAGTATTTAACCATCATGATATACTGAAGAAGTTTAGCTACGTTCTTCCAATAATCTAGACCTATATTTAGTTGTTTTTGTAACTTGTCAGCATGTTTTAGATTAGTGGTATGTTATTTTGTAGTTTTGGCCATGACAAGTTTCCATTTGAGTAAAGATTTTTCTATATGCCAATACCAATTATGCATCAAGCTTTTGAGATCTTAATAAAATGCAGATGCTCTGACTGCAACACAGAATAACAGGAACCTGGCCCATGACCAATTCGGATTTAATGACTGTAAGACTGCGCCAACATTAGTATGGTAACAGAGAGGCTCTTTATGCCATGAACAAAACGGGGTGGCACCTATCACTGGAATTGAACAATTGCATGATATCCTAAAGTGTGGTACATAAAACACCACAATACAATAAATACCCTACAATACAATAATACCCTAAAGTGTGGTACAATAAAACACTACAGTAGGGCTGCAGGATACAAGGTTAATGTATATATACCACCAATGAACAAGTGCAATTGAAAATTAAAAACAAAAACCAAAAATAAAGGAAAGAAAATTTAAAACAAATCACTTTTTACATTAGGACCGAAATTTTTAAAAAGTTCCTTTACAGGTGTAAAGTTCCTTTACAGGTGTGTTTCATCATGGCAGCACATGAGAGGTCTGTGATGAAGATATAACATCATTAACAGATTTTGAACCTCAGATTAAAAGTCACTAAAAATGGAGCCTTATCAAGAAATCTAAGAATAAAAACATTTCATAACTTGGTAAGTGGGCCTTTTCAAACATCCTTGATCCTTTGACCCCCCCCGCCACCATCTCATGAATTTTAGATGATTTTAACTTTTAATTACTCTGCAGAGTGTAACATGATTTGACTAATCTTCAAGAAGGACTAGACTTAGTTCTCCCTACTAATAATTCCCTGATGCACGGTACATTCTGAAACCTGCTTAAACAATTTACCTCACTCATTATATTTGTAAAGGTTTTCTCCATTATGAAATCTTTGGTGGTCCTGAGGCCAGGTCATTTCTTGAAGGCCTTAATATATTCTCCTGTAAGGTTTCTTTCCAGTATAAATTCTCTCATCACTCCAAACATATGAACATTTAATAAAAGCCTTACCACACACTTTACATCTGTATCTTCACTCCATGTATATTCTGGTGTCTGTTGAGACTTGAGTACTGCTTAAAGGCTTTGCCACACTCGTGACACTTGTAAGGTTTCTCCCCAGTATGAATTCTCTGATGAACTGTAAGGCTTGAATTCTGACTGAAGGCCTTGCCACATACATGACATTTATATGGTTTCTCTCCAGTATGAACTTTCTTATGTTGAGTAAGGTTTGAGCTCCCAGTGAAGGCTTTGCCACACTCATGACATTTGTAAGGTTTCTCTCCAGTATGGATTCTCTCATGGCCCCAAAGGTGTGAACGTGTGGTGAAATCCTTACCACACTCCTGACATTTATAAGGTTTCTCTCCAGTATGGATTCTCTTATGTTGAGCAAGATTTGAATGCTCAGAAAACGCTTTGCCACACTCATTACATCTGTAAGGTTTCTCTCCAGTATGAATTCGCTCATGACCCCAAAGGTGTGAACGTATCATAAAGTCCTTACCACATACGTTACATTTATATGGTTTCTCCCCAGTATGAATTCTCTGATGCCTTGTGAGGTTTGAGAGTCTGTTAAAGGTTTTGCCACACTCACTACATTTGTAAGGTCTCTGTTCAGAATGAATTCTTTGATGATTAGCTAAGACTGAGCAATGGCTAAAAGCCTTCCCACAGTCATTACATTTGTAGGGCTTTTCTCTAATATGTGTTTTCTGGTGTTGTGTAAGCAATGAAGGATGCGTTAAAACCTTCCCATTTTTATTACAAATGTTGGTTTTGACACTAGCAGGAATTATTTGAAGTGGTGAAACTGAGGAACAGTTTTTGATAGACTTCTCGACGTGATTACATTCGTAAATCTTCTCCTCAGTTTGAAAAATCTGCAGTTCAGCCAAATGTGAATGAAGGCTTAATCCAAGCCTAGTTTCCAAACATTTCAAACACTTGTTTCCTGAACAGCCTACGTTACTTTTTAGTTCCTTATTCCTCATATATGACTTGTAATACTTGTAATATTGAGACATACTTCTTACAGAAACATTCTGCTTTAAAGGAAAACTATTCCAGGATTTATGATGTTGTTGATCTCTACTACCAGTGAGATTTTTGCAAGGGGTTGTAGTCACTCCTTTGTAACTTTCTTCTTCATGTTCCCACTGATTCGCAAACTTGTGCATATTTTGCTGGACTTCACTGAAATCAAAATCATCAAAATCATGACTTACAAGTCTTTCAAAAGCCAATGTCTGAAATAAGTCTCCATTATTAATGTCCTCTTTTGGTGATAATTCTTTGATCACACATCTGGTAGACATATCTGTAAGATATAAGGCTTCCTTTTAACCAGATTGGAAGATAGATATTTTATGCTGAAAAATATAATATTACACCAAAGGTAAAACTCACAATTAACAGACTTATCAAGCTTTACAACCATGGTCTGCAAATGTTTAGGAACACAAATGAATAAGATTCCTCTAAAAAGAAAGGGTGATTACATGCAATTCAAATTATTTTCAGGAAAGCCTATTTTCAAATGCTCTGTTATCAAAAGTTACAATAACCTTGAAAGAAAAGGAATTTCCCCACAGGCACCCCAAAGCACACACCAACTCATGGGAGGCATACAACTGTCTAACATTTGAAAAATAAAAGATATTAAAAATAATCACTGGGGTCCAGTGGTTAAGACTTCACGCTCCCAATGCAGGGGGCACAGGTTCAATCCCTGGTAGGGGAACTAAGATCCCACATGTTGCATGGCGGGAGGAAGGGAGGGAGGGAGGGAGGGAGAGAGGGAGGAAGGAAAGAAGGAAGGAAGGGAGGGAGGAAGGAAGGGAGGAAGGGAGGGAGGAAAAGTTTCTTAAGAAAATTAATATTAAAAAAAACACTACTGAATACTTGTATACAACACTAAAACAACACTGTAAGAATAGCAAAACATTATTTTGAATACTTGTTATACAACTATACCCATGAAAAACAGGCATACTGCAACATAACGATTAGTTCACTGTGCTTATATTACATAACATATGCTAAATATTAATTATCTGTTAATCAAAATAAACAGTAACAAACATTTTAGTAATGTGAGACAAATCCAGCCATAAATCATAAATAATAAGCATTTACATTTGTTAAATACACACACACACAGACACACACACAGTGTATGTCGAATTCTAAAGAATTCACCTATAAGACTAAAAGAAAGAACGTATTTCAGAAGGAGCACACAATATGAGAACTGGAAAATATGTTAAAAATCACTGATTTTGAAATAAAAGGTCCAGGTAAATATGTAATATTACAGAAATTAATGGGGAAATGTGACAACAAAACTGACAAAGCAGGGAACGCCAAGTGTACTTCTCTGTACAAAACAAGAAATGAACTCACAAAAACTGTCAGAATCAACTTTATAAGAACTCTGGAAATTAATCAAAGGATTCCAGCTACCAGGAACACTCTTAACCAAGAAAAAGGCAGCTGTTTTTTCTTACCTTGACCCATCCCTGTTCTTCAGCTAGGCAGTGGTCTTGAAGATGAGAGCCCACAGGCTGGTACAGGTTTCCAGAACCAGAGGTGACAGGACAGACCTTATAAAGAATTTCAACTGGTTGGGTTTTGGTTTTTTGGTTTTGTTTTTCTTGTTTTGATCTGCATGATGGATACCTAAAGGACTGGCTCAAAGTACTTGCAAAACTATACCTAGGTGGAACTGCTAACCTGAGGGCTTGGTCAAAAACATTTAAAGGTAAATATACTAGCCACTGCCACCTAGGGCAAGGGATAACAACTTGGGCAAACAATGGACAAATCGAAAACCCTGAGAAAAATGTAGGGAGTGAGTTGTACTGGGAATTAAGGCCTTTGAAAATCTCCCACATATTCCAGGGAATCTAGATAGATTTGGGCATGCCTAGGACTGGCAATATAAGAAAAGACCTGAGAAGCTCCTAAGCCCTCATGTCCAGCTGAACATCAGATTTTCTGCAAGAAGTGAATGCTAAGGCAGAGTTGTAAACTCCTTGCCTGAGTGTTTAAGGAATTCTCCAACACAAAGAGCTCATCTACAAAGAATATAAGGTGGTTTTGTTTTGGTTTTGGTTCCAGGTGTTTAAGGAAATCTGTCAAATCACTAATTGACCAATAAGTCAACAAAGACTTCAGTGGCCACACACAGCAATGAAAACACATCACACAAAATTAGTTGAGAGAAATAAAGACAAAACAGCAGTCACAAGAAACAACAACAAAATCCAGGGGGGTGAGCATGGGGGGAGGAGTGGATTATGATTTCCAAGGTTTCAACATACTCAAAATATCCCATTTGTTAAACAAAAGGTTACAAAGCAGGCAAAGTAACAATAAAGTATCAATATAACCCATACAGAAAAATGAATAAATAAATAGCATAAATTGTCCATAATGGAGCCTAAACTTTGGACTTAATCAACAAACACTTTAAATCAACTAATTAAGCTAAAGGGAATGATGGACACAGAATTAATGAAAGTAAGGAAAACAGTGTTTAAACAAATAGAGAATATCAATAAAATGATAGAGCTTATAAAAAGAAACTAAACAGAAATTCTGGGGCTGAAAGGTAAATTTATCAAAATGAAAAATTTCCTAGAGAGGTTCAGCACCAGATTTGATTAGGCAAAAGGGAGTATCAGCAAACTTATAGGTAGATCAGTCAGAATTACCTAGTCTAAGGAGTAGAAATTTAAAAAGACTGAATATAAATGAACAGAGCCTAGGAGACCTGTAGATACCATCAGTGGACGAACATACGAATAATGGGAGTCCCAAAGAGAAGGAGAAAGAAGGCAGAAAGAATATCAGAATATGGTCAAATATTTCTTAAATGTGAGTAAAGACATGAACCTACAAATCTAAAAACTGAATGAACCGCATGTAGGAAAACTCAAAGAGAATCACACGATAACAAATTATAATCAAACTGTTAAAAGACAAAGGGAAAGAGAGAATCTTAAAAGCAGCAAGGGAGAAGGCAGGTATTTGTCATATACAAAAGATCCTCAGTAAGATTAAAAGCTGATTTCTTGCCAAAACCATGGAGTCCAGAAACAGTGGATGATGTATTTGAAGTGTTGACAGAGGAAAAAAAACTGTCAGCCAATTCTACCTCTAGAAAAACTGTCTTTTAAAAATGAGGGAGAAATTATGACTTCCAAGATAAACAAAAGTTGATGGATTTTCTTATGACTAGATGCCCTATAATAAATAAAAGAGAGAACACTTCTTTTTTTTCCTTTTCCATTATGGTTAATTACAGGATATTGAATATAGTGCCCTGTGCTATACAGTAGGACCTTGTTGTTTATCCATTCTATATATAATAGTTTGCATCTGCTAATCCCAAACTCCCAATCCATCCATCCCCTACCTCTCCTCCCCCTTGGCAACCACAAGTCTGAAAAGAGAGAACATTTCTTAATTCATTCTATGAGGCCAGCATTATTCTGATACCAAAGCCAGACAAAAACAGCTCAAGAAAAGAAACTACAGACCAACATATTTTATGAATATAGATGAAAAATCCTCAACAAAATACTAGCCAATTGAATACATAGCATATTAAGATTATACAACATAAAAAAGGCGGCCTTGTTCCAAGAATTCAAGGGTAGTTGGTTCAACATATGGAAATCTATCAATATAATAGCCCACATCAATAGTAGGAAGGGGGGGGAACCTACATAATCATCTCATTGTATGCAGAATAGATATTTGAAAAAAATCCAGAAACCGTCATGATGAAAACAGTCAGCATACAGAAAGTGAACTTCCTCAACCTGATAAAGATCATTTATGAAAAACTCACAGCTAATATCATACACAGTCAATGATGAAATAATAAAAGCTTTCCACCTAAAATAAGAAATAAGACGTGTTGCCCACTTTCACCACTGCTATCCAGCTATTCAATGTTGTACTGGAAGGTCTACCCAGAGCAATTAGGCAAGAAAAAGAAATTAAAAGTATATAAATTGGAGAATAAAAAGGAAAATTATCTCCATGAGCAGATGACACAATCCTGTATAACGAAAATTCCATAAAATACACACACACACACAAACAAGACCTACTAGTCTTATAAGCGATGTCAGCCAAGTTGCAGGATACAGTATCTACATGTGAAAATCAGCTGTGTTTCTATACATCAACAATGAACAATTGGAAAAAAATTTTTTTAATAATTCCACTTACAATAATATCCAAAGAATAAAATACCTAAGAATGAATTTAAGCAAGGAGATGAAAGACATATAGACTGAAAACTACAAAACATTGCTGATATAGATAACTAATAAGGACCTACTGTATAGCACAGGGAACTCTACTCAATACTCTGTAATGGTCTATACGGGAAAAGAATCTAAAAAAGAGTGGATATCTGTATATGTGTAACAGATTCACTTTGCTGTACGTCTGAAACTAACACAACACTGTAAATCAACTATACTCCAATAAAAATTAAAAAAAAACATTGTTGATAGAAATTAAAGAAGACCTAAATAAATGGGAAGACACTCCATATTTATGATACTATTTACCAACATGGTCTATAGATTCTATGTAAACACTATCAAAATTCCAAGAACATTTTCTGGAAAAATGGAAAAGATGATGAAATTCATACAGAACCGCAAAGGGCCCTGAACAGTCAAGACAGTATTGCAAAAGATATGATATACACAGAATAGATAAATCCACAGAGACAGAATGCAGACTGGTAGTTGCCAGGGACTGGGGACAGAGGAAAATGTTGAGAAACTGCCTAGCAGGGAATGAATGCTAATCATACTTTTTTGAACAATAAACAATGGCATACACATGCAATGAACACTGTTGCAAGAACAACAGTTTGGCCAACGGTCTCACTGATATGTGGTTATGAACTTGCAATTTTCTCCCTAGAATAAATCCCTGTACCTGAGACAACCCCAAATCCAACAGGATGATCGTTAGTATACTTAATCAACATTGCCACACTGCCCTTCGGAGACACTTTTGTGATGATCCACAAAACCCAGAAGGACAACTGGAACCATGTGTGCCACGCTCTCATGATACTTTCTACCTCGGCATCCTGGAACATGCTGACCACTCTACTCAGTTACTTCAGAGGGCACTTGCCCATGAAGCAGGATGATACTGTAACACCTAGATCAAAGCATTCTCCACTCAGAATTTTACCCAGTGAAACTCCTCGTGGGAGAGTTCACTAGAGCTTCTCCAGCACCTAAGGGTGGGTTATCACAGCAGAAAACAGAGAATAACATTTCGGACACCAAGTAGGTGTATTTCAGAAGCAAGTTTCAGAGGTAAAATCACACACACTCAAAAAAACATGGAAATCAGGTACAGCCCAAGTTTTTCCACATTTGCATACTAAGCAGGCACTGCAAGAGAGAGAAAAATAAAAGATACGAGAGTAAAGCAAGGGATTCAGATTTTGTGGGATGTTGAAATGGGCCCTGGGGTCTGCCTACAAACCCCAAAATGTGCCTGAGATATGCCCCCCCCGAAGGACTGGGGATCAAAGAAAGGTTCTCTCTGCCCACTGTCTTTACAATACTGCTGAGGAACAATCTCAAAAGATTCATGCCAGTGCCATGATACATGCTCCTAAAGGCAAAAGCAGAAACGAAGAAACGTCTGAGGCACCTGAAGGGGCACAGAGGGCTTGAGGCAGGCCCCTGTACTCGCCTGGGGCCCCAGATGCAGTGGATGAGCAGCCCGTGTCCCCCATCCCCAAAAGAAGGTCTCTCACGTATGTGAAATGGGGATGGAAGCTAGAGAAGGAGAGGAGCCGGGACAAGGGAGACCTCAGCTTGATGTGTGTGGACTGAGAACTGAGTCTAGAATGAGAGGCTGGTCCCCCAAAGTCCAAATACAAAAACAGTCACAGACGGCAGGTAACAGAAAGTTGTGAGTCAGGATAAAGACTTTGCCTTTGTCTTTGCAATGAGATGGAATACCACTGGGACGGGAGGAAACTTTTAAGACACATGAATAAGAGGAGGGGAAGTACAATTTCCTTCGAGAGCTCACAGCAATAAACTTCTGTCTTCCCAAAGACCTCTCACACTTAGGAAGAATTTCCTAAAAAACGTTTGATGAAGTAGCCACCTCTTTGCCGTCTGAGTTCTTCCGTAGGTTCGTATCGTTGATACATTCCCGCCCACCTCATTTTTTTTTTTCCTCTCTATTTTCACCTCACTCTTCAGAGGCCAGGGCTCTCTCCCCTGCTCCAAGATGAAAATAATATTCACCTCAGAAAGACAGACTCCTGCTTACATGAAAAAAGGTGAATGATGTGCTGTGCCTTTTCCATAATACAATTCCAGCCCTTTGCCCAGCTGAAAAGGACAATACAGATGGGATAGAATAGTATTTCACAAATTTGTTCAATGACGATCTTCTTCCAAATGCTTACAGAATATTTTAAATATACAGATATGTAGCTTTCTTCCAAGAACTACTAAACCAATAGTACAGAAGTAAAAGCGGGCAGATAGCTTAAGATTTAGCCGTAAGATTTTGTGCTTACTCAACTTCCAGAACCACCACCACCTGGCATGTCGTGGACAGATCAGCTGAAGAAAGAGGAGGTTGAAATTCCAGACACTCCATTATAAGGCCTCTCATTTCTGAATCAACATGGCTTCAGCCGTAGGTGAACAAGGCAGGGGTTCCCAAGAGACTCAAGATAAATGCAAAGACACCCGAGGGCAGATCCCAATTTCTGGAGGGAAACTATCCTCACCCAGGGAGACCAGGTTCCTGTAGTTCTCCAACATCACGTCCCTGTACAAGGCCCTCTGAGCAGGGTCCAGGCATTCCCACTCCTCCTGAGAGAATTCTATGGCCACATCCCTGAATGTCAACAGTGCCTGAAATGAAAACACATTTCACCAAGAGGCCATCAGGAGAGTCCTTATCTTCACACAAAATGAGAAGAGGAGAGAGGCGCCAGCGCCAATTAGATAGAAGTGAGTGTTCTGATAGTGCCACAAAGAGAATCTTGAACAATATATCCCTAATTTTGCTTTATTACACTGTTCTATCAGAGGATGTCAAATCTACTAAATTACTGAGGAATTTAAAATTGCATGCAAAAAAAGTATATATATATATATATGTGTATATACATATATATACACACACAAATGAAAAAAATTCAACAAAGCGTTGTCTATACACAGGTTCCAGACATTATACACCAAATGATAACTAACTTCCAGATGAGGTACAGTAATGTCTTTAGGGATGACAAAGTCCACAGTAGCTTTAAAGAAAGGTGAGAACTGAAAAAATGGGATAATGATAATTACAGTAACAACCAAAAGTTACCATACAGTAAGCATTACTCCAAATGTTTTATAAGTATTAACTCATATAACAACATAGCATCCAATTTATTCCCACCTTACAGAGGACCCAACTCTGTTATTCAACAGCTAATAAATGGCAGCCTTCACCTGAACCAGGTGGTCCAGCTTTAGAACAGAACCTACAGCATCATACATTTAAGTATCAGATATGACATTAAAAGTACGATGACACAGTTGTTTCCTAACTGAGAAAACCTGAAACAAGTTCAAGGCTGAAAACACAGAACTGGCTGAAAGGTCAATACATATACACGTACACACACATGCGTACATTCAATGAGCACTGTCCTTACTGCTCTTAACTCATTAACATGGCACGGTAGGAGAAAACTTAAGGACATGGAAAGCATGTAAGACACACTTCCAAAGTTAAAATAAATATAAGACTTATTAATGAAATGATGGTGTTGTTTAGACACACCATGGGTTCCTGCTCACATACACAAGTGGGTCCACTATAAACATACACACCAAAATGAACTGAAATAAAAGTGGTAGTGTCTAAAATGACATTTTTAAAATACATCTTCATTTTCTATTATTTTTTACTTGTGTATTTCAGCATTTTTGGTACAATGAACATGTATAAATTGTACTAAATTTAATTAAGATTGTCAACATTATTCTATAGTAGCCTGGTTATTAAAAAACACTACAAAAATTGAGAAAAAATACATTAGAAAACTTAACTTTGATCTCTATAAATACATAGAGTGTGTAAAAATACAGAAGAGAATCTGTGTGGCGATGAGAGAAGATTGAAGGAAGGCCGTGGGGCGAGTCTGAGCAAACCCGTCAGGCAGGATACTTGAGAGTGAGAGATTATCAAGTCCAAATGGCATTTCAGGACAGAGAGGACTGAACAGTAAACTAAGAATATGATTTTACCTGAGAAAGAGTCATTCCTGACTCCTTGTCCTTTCCTCTTCTTCCTCTTCAGGGCTTCTTTCTCAGGCAAGGTGAGTCCTGAGATGTCAGTCCTGAGTGTCAAAAGATGTTGTTTAATGCTTGGAATCGACACACCCCCTTCCTGTACCACAACCACACACAGGGAGGACCTCAGCATGTGGAATAGACGGTCCTCTGCTGTAAGGCTTTTGACCCCTTTCTTCAGAACTCACTCCCCTCCTGGTTAAGCCACACACAAGCTGCAGCAGTGGGGACCTAGGAAGGACTGACCCTCCCCTTCAGGTCAGAGACCCAGTCCTGACCGAAGGCCATGCAGAAGACAGCACCCCCTCCACCCCTCTAGTTTAAGGGCCGGTCTCAGTCCTCAGAAACAGATGAGCCACAGCCCTAGTGCTCAGGGCTGGATACAGATTCGATCACCTGAGGCCACTTAGTCAGCCATGACCTAGAAGAAAACTCTACGGGAACTGGGCACAAAAGAGGTATCTGAAAATGGCTCAGCAATCTAATGGCAAGTCAGGGTTGAGCATCATTCAGAGGGGTCAACTCCAGCACACCCCCCACTCTGTGGCCCTGCTCTCTCCTCGGGCCCTGCCCCCTGTATCTGGATAGTGGAAGGGGAAAGAGCGGAGAGAAACACACAGAGCAGGCATTACAGGCTAGGGCGGGGGGAGGAGTGTGGCTGCAAAGTTAAATGAGAGACTCAGAAAAGGCCCCACTGAGAATGGGGGCGGGCGTGTCATCAGAACAAAGATCTGGAGGAGGAGGTCCGCCATGTGCATTTGAGGGGTCAAAGAGTTCTAGGAATCCCTGACTGACTAGCTCTAGGTGACCCTGACTCCGGGAAAAGCAGAGACATCTGTGTGGCTCAATCTCAGTGAGAAGGGAGGAAACAAGCAGGAGACGATGTCACACGAGTACTGCAGGAAGCAGATCAGCAAGGCCCGTGGTCTTCAGACATTCTTCTACCCCATCCCAAGTGAATTTTGGAAACTATGTATTGTCTCATCCACCTTAACATCTAATTCTTTTGTATCTCAAGTTAAAACACATATGAATAATGTAATATCCTGTATATTTGAAAAGCAGCCAAGATGGTCACACTGGCCCCAGGAGGTATGCCACAGCTCTTAACGGAAATGTGCAGGGCTGTAGGGTCCAGGAGCTAATGTCTGCACAGTGTGGCAAGAAGATGCCTGTGAGACGCGCCAGCAGGGACGTGAAGGGTACCGCTGGACAACAGGAGTCTGGAGTTCAGGGCTGAGGTCTGAGAAGGAGATGTGGAACTGGGAGATGTCAGGGTGTCTAGAGCCATAAGATAGGATGATATGGAAAGTCACCGAGTGCGGCCAGAGAAAAGGTCCCAGATGGAGCTTGGGGCCCTGCCCCCATCAGCGACCAGGGGTTGAGGCAAAACCAGGAGAAGAAAATGAAAAGTGAACAAGGAGAAAAGAAAATTGAAACAGATGGCCAGACTTAAAATGATAGTTTAAGTTTATCTTTAAATACTGGGATGTCCTGCAAGCCATGAGAAAGAAAAGAAAAAAGTGTTTAACGGAAGAGGGAGTGATCAACAGTTGCTGACAGGACAAGACAAAGACTATGAATTAACCAGTGGGTTTAGAAACAGGGAGGACATTACAGCCTCTGACAAGGAAAGTGGATGGTAGATGGGAAAGCTTGATTGGATGGGGTTCCAGCAACAGCTGGCAGCAAAAGCTGATGAACTGTGTTTGACAAATGGTGCCATGATGTCCTCTTGCTTGAGGACTAATCACTGTTTGTCTTGAGAACATGTACATAAGGGGTTGTGTCTGCTTGGCTATAAAAAAGGGTGAGGTTTCTTTCTGCCATAGCAATCTTTTTGGTGGCGTCCCTGTGATGCGGGTATATGTCCAGAAGTGCAATTGCTGGATCACACGGTAATTCTATGTTTAATTTTTTGAGGAAATTACCACTGTTTTCCACAGCTTCTATATCATTTTATCCTTGTAAACAATGCACAAAGGTTTCAATTCTCCACATTCTCTCCAATACTTGTTATTTTCAGTTTCTTTTGATAACAGCCATCCCAATGGGTGTGAAGTAGTATCTCACTGTGGTTTTGACTTGCATTTCCCCTACGATTGGTGATATTGGGCATCTTTTCATGAGCTTATTGGCCATCTGTATATCTTCTTTGGAGAAATGTCTATTCAAGTGTTTTGCCTCTTTTTCAACTTTGTTTTTCAGTGGTAGTTCTTTATATATTCTAGATAATAATTCTTTATCAGATATATGATTTGCAAAATTTTCCTCTTATTCTGTGGGTCGCCTTTTCACTCTGTCGATAGTGTTCTTTGATGCACAAAGTTTTTTTATTTTGATGAGGCCCATTTAACTATTTTTTCCTTTGTTGCCTGTGCTCTCTGGTGTCACATCCAGGAGCCTGGATTTTGTCCCAAAGGCAATGGGAAGCCAGCAGAGGGGTTAATGCCAGGTACTGAAATGGTCTAACTTCAGATTTACTTCCGATGTAGAGACAGAACTCTGAGACAGACTCTGTCTCTGAGCCCTGTATCTTTCCTAGTAGTTTTCATCATTGTTGTTGGCCTGGCACTCTTTTAAACTTATAATTACAATGGTTACCCTCTTGCAGAAAAATGCCACATAGATATCCATACAATATTGTCAATCATTTTAGGGATCGCTGTCATTCAGCAATCCTGATCTTGTTCATCAACTGTGTTGTAGGTAGGTTCACAGAGGCCCAGAAGGGAAGTTACCTTGAGAACATCTGAGCTGAGTGAGAACTGCATGTCACTGAATTTTGAAAGGGTGGCCTAGAAGAGACAGTGAGCAGTTTGTCCTTATCATCTCATTCCCCTTTGAAAAATTCCAGGATCATGTTTAATACACCTGAGCAAAAGACACCTCTTTTGTGGTTTTAATCACATTGATCCCAAGCATTTACTCCCTCTTTTGCAGAAAATCACAGTGAAACACTGAAGAAATATAAAATGATGAACACAGATTTTGGTGCTGAAACTTTTAAAGAGGGTTAGCTATGGAAATAGGATCAGTGCAAATTTCTTTACCATGAACAAATGGGCTGTTAGAACAAAGTTTCAAGTCGACCTAGCCCATCCCTCATTATTTTCACAGAATGGACAAAAGGGACTTGAGCAGAACATCTACTTTGTATCTCACAGCTCACTAATTCAATAAATCACACAAAGGGGACAAAAGGGGCTGCTGAATATTAGACTAACTCAGTAAACTAAGTTCTAACCATTAAGATGCTATACACCCTTACCAAGTATATATTGAAACAGTCTAAAATTATTTACTAAGTACTACACAATGTTCCAGCATATGACAAAGGGTAGAAAGAATGCAGTCTTTATAATCTGAACTAGACACAATATATTCAAAAGGGAAAACAATTTGGGACTATTTTTTTTTTAATCTAATGACTTCTGGGGTCAAAAATTTTTTTTTAATTGAGACTACCTAATATTTAGAATAGAATGATGACAGCTGGTTATCACATGTCACCGAAGCTTATTTCAGAAGCTGATGATAATTTACAGAGAAAGGGGAATTCGGTATACTATTTACCTCAATATGCTTTTAAAAAAAATGAATTAAATGTAAGAGGGGTGCAAAAATGTATGTGTCCATTTAAAAGAAGAAAAAGCAACGGTTTTAATATTCCCTTAAAAAGCACCACGTAGTGACGGATTCAGTAATTTCTTGTCCCGGCTCACCTCCCTCACACCATTCCGAGCAAAGATGGCAACGCACCACTCACAGACAAGTCTCCCCTCGTTGTCAGAGTAAAGGGCTGCAAATGGAAGCTACACTGTGAGGCGAATAATTATAAAACGCACAAGCCTTATAAACAGGAGTTTTGCAACTCTCATTCTCATCTGTAAAATTAAAACAATTAAGCAAATTTTAAACTAAATATATTACAAAGCCACAAGTCAATATATCACACCTTAGCCATATCCCATCAAGTCACCACTCACGCAAAATCAGGTTCCCCTTCTTTCACTCTACTCTGTATTTCTGTTAATCTGTTTATGTCTCCCTTTCCTTGTTTCTCTCCACCGTTCTCCTTTTCTGTGTTTCCTCTCTCACTCCCGCTGCTCTTTCTCCCCTTTTCTCTATTCCTTTCCTTACACTTGTTTTGCACAAGGCTTGAAACCTATTTCAACTTCAGTTTCTCCTTCTCCCCAGTCTGTTCCCAATCTCTATATATGTCTGCCTTTTTCTCCCTGCATTTCTGTGTTCCCTCTGCTCTCCATCACATTGTCTTTCCTATTACACCCCCTCTGCCCCGCCTCACTGCATCCCTAGCTGGCTAGGTTCTCTCAGCGCTGTTTCTCACTCTGCCAACCCTAAGCCCTCGTTCTGTCCCTCCACTCAGCTCCCCCAACTGTTTTTCTCCTAACCACTCTGTCTGAAGTGCCTTGACCTTCGTGGCTGGAGCTCCTACCTTTCCTCTGTGTTTCTATTTTCTTTTCTCCTCTTGCTACTTTGCCGAGTTATTCCCTTTCACTTTGTCTCTCTTCAAGTCCTTCCCAGATCGTCTATTTTTGCCTTAAATTATGCGCCGCCCCATTGATCTTTTTCTCCCTCTCACTTTTCTATTTCTCTTCATTCTCTCTCTGTCTCTCTTTCTCCTGATCATCCTCACTCCCTTGTCCGGCCGCTTTCCTGGTCTCCCCTTTGCAATCATCGCTTCCACAAAGCACCAGATCCCCGCGCGGGGGAGGTGACTTGCTCTTGGGGCACCCCGAGTTCTTCAGTCCTAAATCCCATCCTTCTGAAAAGTGTGTTCTTCCGAGACACTGGGCTTCTTATTAAGGGGGAGGGGACGGGGGGAGGATCCCAGGAAGGCGGTGGGGTCTGCTGAATCCCAGGGCCAGGGAGAAAGCCAGGCCTCTATGGGCCAAGAGGGACGAGGATGAGGGGAGACGCGCAAAGTGTTTGAATCTATCTCAAAAGTCCATCTGCCATGACGCTGAACAGCGCGGGGCGGGAGGAGTGGTCAGTGAAGGGTTTTACAGGACAACAACGCGGCAGGCGGGTCTAACGGCCCGAAGGCCCAAAATCCATGGGCGGGGAAGGCCTCGGAAATATTTTAACCGAAAATGAACGTGGACCCCCAACCCAGCAGCGAAGCGGTCAGGCTTCGGGAACTCTCACCGGGACGCCAGAACTTACCGAAGGTAAGAGGCACGGGTGCAGGAACGTTAACGTCCGTAGCAACCCCAAAACTCCAGGCGTATAGGACTGTGGACTGAGACGCTCAGGTTTAAACTCAAAAAGACGAAAACACAGACGCCGACGTGACACTAGCCCCACGCTAGCCTCTTCCGGTCTGCGAGATACTGCGCGTGCGCGCTTCTTTCGGGGAATGTTGGGGGCGGGGCCTAGGCGGAGCTCCTTCGGAAAGGGGCGCGAATGGTGACCAGGCGTAGGCGGGGACCGCGGGGGGGCGGGGCGGAGCCGAGCCGGGGCGGAGCCGAGCCGGGGCGGGGCCGGGGCGGAGCCGGGGCGGACGGGGCGCCCCTTGGCAGCTCCCTAAGGGCGTGTTTTCTTTCCGAGTTTGGATCACTTTGAATTTCTTTCCTGTGCCGCGGAGCCGGGCTGCTCCTTGCCTGTTTTAAGTTGATGTTTCAAACAACTTAAGGGGAAAACTTAGAGTTGAGAGACCACTTGTTGAAAGCTAAGATGTTTGCGTTTTAAGTAGTTGAAAACGAGTTTAGTCAAAAATCGTTTTTGCAAAGGGGTGCCGGGTCCTGAGAGAGAGACGAGGCGGACTCTGCGGTCTGGGAACCCGGACCTGGATTCGGAGTCGATGTGGGGAGATAGTTGGATCCAGGAACGCCTCCTGCAATTAGAATTTAATTTAAGCGATATAATTAAGCAAGGAGTGCAGTTGTCTGTGCAAGAAATTCAAACTTGAATGTGAAATGCAAACCTCTACGGGTGGGAAATGGGCCACTTCGTACGGACGTCCATCAGAACGTCATATCCATTTACATTCCCATTCACCCTGTGCTCAGCCCTGTGCTCAGTTCCAGAGGCTTTCATAGGTACAAGACCCGGACAGGGGGAGGTAGACGCATGAGGCATATGATGATTTAGGTCACCAACCACTGCTTTAAAAAAATTAAAAATCAAAAATTAATATCAACTGTATTGTTCTTTATAGTACTTGTTATTCTATTCCACACCTGAGGCGAATGATAAGTACCTCTGAGATAAATTTTTGTGACGTCATAATTCATTTGTCAGTAATTTCCAAAGATAACAATCTAATTCACTTCACATTTATCCAAGAGTAACTAGGAAGAATATTTTTAATAAAAATATTGTTTTACATTTTAGCTCTTTTATTTTCTATTTCTCAATGTTCTGTCAGGTGTGAATAACAAACCCTATATGTACTCTTTAGACTACTGAAGTTGTTTTCACCTTAAAAATACTATTGCAGGGCTTCCCTGGTGGCACAGCGGTTGGGAGTCCGCCTGCCGATGCAGAGGACACGGGTTCGTGCCCCGGTCCAGGAGGATCCCACATGCTGCAGAGCGGCTGGGCCCGTGAGCCACGGCCGCTGAGCCTGCGCGTCTGGAGCCTGTGCTCCGCAGCGGGAGAGGCCACAACAGTGAGAGGCCCGCGTACAGCAAAAAAAAACAAAAAAACAAAAAAACAAAAAAACAAAAAAACCCACTATTGCAATATTTCCAGGGGCATTTGATAGGGACGTCTATATTATTTTATATGAACCCTAAAGGAAGCAAACTAGATTTATAGAATTTCCAATGGTCTCTTTTATAATCTTTAAGGCAATTTCCATGAGTTAATATCCACCATGAAATGTGTTTCTTTCAAATCCCTAAACGTAGAAGATTCCTCTCCAGTAAGAATTTTTTAATGTGATAAAAGCATTTTGAATAAAAAGTCTTTTAATGTATATTTATTTATTTATTTATTTATTTATTTATTTGCGGTACGCGGGCCTCTCACTGTTGTGGCCTCTCCCGCCGTGGAGCACAGGCTCCGGACACGCAGGCCCAGTGGCCATGGCTCACGGGCCCAGCCGCTCTGCGGCAT